CTCTCTCTCTCTCTCTCTCTCTCTCTCTCTCTCTCTCTCTTCTCCTTTCTCTCTCCTTCTTCCCTCTCCTTTTCCCTTCTCTCTTATGTTTTACTCCAACACTGTTGAATTTCTCTGAAATTATTACCACAGATATTTCCCAACACATAAAACTATCGACATTAAAGATATAATCCCATTTATTAACTCGCCTATTTATTAACCCAACATTAGATTGACCTGTCGCTCGACTCTGGCAATAATAGTTTACAAGTGTTCTGCGTACATCGAGAAGTGTGTTGACATTGCGATTTGTATTTAGAGATATAACGAACTAGACGTTCGTTAACACAAAGAGTATAGTAAACAAATTTTGAAGAGCACATAGCACGAAAGCATACAATATAATATTTTTGTTAAAATATATGCTCCCGAATATATCATCTAATTACTATTGTGTAATGAAACATTTGACGTATTTCATAGTAAAACAGTCTAAATATACCTTTAATTGTTTAAATTGTGGAGAATAATGTTTGGGTAGAGAATTATTTGTCTGTACAAGAGAAAAAAACAATAACAAGTCTCTCATGTACTAAAGGATTTCAACCGTCTTTATTCGTGAGAGATTGCAAATATATAACATATAATGTACGCCACAATTACTTAACTAACAAATGTATAATACTAGCAATTCTGTATTAGAAGAAATAATATAACTTTATACATATACTCATTAATGTTTTCATAATGGATCTATGAAAAGGACTCAACTATACGTCGTTAATATTTACGAATAATATTACCATTGTTATGAAACTATCTAACGTTTCGACTGCTTTAGTTTACCTAATACTATGCACAAGCATGATTTTTCACCAAATCTTCCACATGCAATCAAATGATTATTACAAAATTAGATAATTAAATTTTAGAAACAAATAATGCTCCAAATTCTTTATTAATATCATGAATACGGCCAGTATATATTTCTCTTGAACATGAATTTTCATTTTAATATGAATTTTTATAATTAAATTAACATAAATTTTTATAATTATTTGCATAAAGACAAATAATATGTATAAAATAATAATGGTACAATGGTAAAATCGAGAAGCTAATGTGTACTTGAGCATCCGACAAATATTATGTCCTCTTAACTTGTAATTTTGCTCTCGTCACAATAATAAATCGGTCTCTACGCGGAATCGCGGATATATAAGAAATCTTTCCAAACTGATAAATGATATTTTTCCATAATTTAACATTAAAAAACTATTAAATTTTAAGATAGTGTATACGATTACAAAATTTAGTCGCTTGCTTGGTAAATAATCAATCAGTATATAATTATATGTAGACAGGACATCAAGATGTCCTAATTTTTAATGGAAAAAATGTGTCCCAAACTCTGTATCAAACTCGTAAGCGTAAACTCACAAATAAAATAAAACAATTTTATCCATAAATTCAATAAGTTAAATGATTACTACAGCGTTCTGATATTCTCACTGCCAGTACTGAAGATCTATAGTTTGTGTCGTGTATACGTATAGAATTTCAAAAGTCACATTAAAGGAAAAAATACATTACTACACCAAGAAAATTTTATAGTAACAAAATGTGTCACAAATTTAGAGATCCTATTCAAATCATATTCTATTACTTCAATGGCCAGAAAAGTTGGAAAAACCATATTACATTACCATATTACTTTACAAGAATTAATAGAATACAATTTTACAAGTTGGAAAAATAGTGAAAAAGTATATACTTATTGTGGAAAAAACTTAGTATAATTGAGAAAAATGAAATAATAATAACAAAAAATATCTTTATTTTAAAATTATAGTTATTTAAAACTGCTAATAACAAAACATTTAAAATCACATATTTAAAAATTAAAGGTATATCTACGTCAAAGATACGTATAAGCACAGATATATATAAAATTGTTAGTGCAGTTTTCCACAATGGTGAAAATCTAACTAATGGATATTATACAAACGTTGTGCGTAGTAAGCATACAAAATGGATTTCAATTATTAATTCCACAATAAAAAAATGTAGTTGACCACGAAATTTAAAAGATCCATACATTTTCTTTACTGAAAAAGTAATGTAATAAGATTTGTACCTAAATAATCCATACAAAAAGCAATGAGATCGTCATAAACAGTCTTTACAGAAGAAAAAAAACGCTGAGTTTGTATCAAAACAAAAACTACAAAACGAAAAGTACATGTTAACTTAATCAAAGTGTAGATGTTTTAAATTAATTATAATAAAAAAAGAAGTAAGACCAATATATAATAAATCAAATATAATAAATCAAATAAATATATACTTGTTATACAAAAAATCACGTGATAAGTATCAATAATATTAATAATTGAATGTTGAACTTGGCGTGCCCCAATTAATAAATTCATAAATAAACTTATAAATATATTCATACAGAAAAGTCATTCCTATATACGGCGACACACAGTCTTGAATTCATGAAACATTAATATAGATTTCTCCATAGTGAATATGTATATGTATTTTTTTTAATAATGTATATAAATTATTAGTAGCATTATAAATATTTATATTGAAGAATGATGTATTAATTGGAGCACGCCAAGTTTTTAATCCTCGATGTTAAGTTTTTCTCAATTTGATATTTGGATATTTCAGCGTTCAGTTATTAATAATATTGATACTTATCATATAATTTTATGTATAATAAGTACTTAAATATACGTACTTGCTATATTATATTAATCGTACTTCTTTTTTTATCATAATTAATTTAAAACATTTACACTTTGTTTAAGTTAACATGTACTTTTCGTTTTGCAGTTTTTGTTTTGATACGTACTCGGCGTCTTTTTCTTTTATAAAGATTCATTTTTTTCGACACTTTATCTCAATACTTTTATATTTATATGTAAAATGACAACATAAATCGATCGAGGGATTAATTCTGGTGAATTCATGAATATACATAAAGTAATACAATTTGTTTTAAGATTTATTTATTTTTTACAATAACTGATTTTATTCATCATACAATAGCGTTAAATTGAGATTGTTGAAAAGTAAATATTTTACGAGATATTTTATATATTATTCTGAAAAGTGTCAAGATAAAAATATGTAAAACATGTAAAATATCTTGGAAAGTATTTACTTTACGATTATTTTATTTCAGTACTTTTATACGCAGAATTACTCTGGGGATAATTTGTGTTAAAAGACCATGTAAATCTAATTAAAAAATTCATACTTATTTTGAAATAACTTTAGCGCGCCCACCATAAGGTCAAGTCAATAGTATTTTTACATATGTTTCCTTTGAAATTCTTCACTTCCAAATTTCATCTGAGATTTTTTAATACGATATCAAATTTAATAAATATATAGATATTTAGTAGATATATAAGGTATCACTTTATAATGGAACCTTTATAGTAGATGCCTTAAAATGTAATGAAAGGACTACGTAAAATGTAATGTATAAGAAGTATATAATATCCTTTCGGCAAAAACTACTAGTCCGCGTAAAATAACCAATAAAAATGTGCAATAATCTATCTTACATATATGATTCTAAAGATGCAAACAGAGTAACGATACAATTATTTACTAATTACCAATGTTCGTTTTAACTGGCTCCCTTATACAGAAACGATAACATTCAAGAAAAAAACTACTAGTATTGATGCTTTTCAAAATCATGCTTCGTTAAAATATTCGGAACACGTGAAAAAAATGCTGAATATATGATATACAATTTTCTTACTCAAGTGACGATACATACAATTATTCGTAAGAATTGTTACAACTGTTACTACTGTTACTACTGCTACTCTCTGTTGAGTTGTTTGACTCTAAGTTCTTATAGTATACTAAATACTTGTTGGGGAACATTACATTACCAGTCATATAATCTCTGTATGGCCTAATCGACGCAAACCTATTTAATTTATAAACATGAAAACCCGGAAACGTCGGAGAGGTTTCCAAATTACTCAATACCTCATATATTTGTATCATATTATTTTCAGCCCTCTCTTTCGTCTGAGCTAACATAAGTAACGGACAACAGTGATATTGAAGTGCTCTTATGTCATCCTTATTAGTCAACTGCACATTAAATACTACAATCAAGTTTGGAAATTTATATAATTTCCTTAGGTTCGCATAATGGTAATAAAACATGTTATGACTTCTGTAATGAATTTTTCGTTTCTCGGATGTACAGTCTCTACAAAGCTGTAGTGTATAATCTTCAGATAGCAATCCTTTTCCTATCGCTTCAATTGATAACGATGAAATTGTATAAAATTCATGAAGCAAGAGTTCCCAAGCATGTACAGTGCGCCTGTCCATAGGTGTTTCGATTAGGATATGAATAACATAGGATTTGTTCGATGAAGCGATTCTGTATATACCTGCGGAGTTCATGGCATGTATCAGTGACAGCGGTCCGGACAAATCCTCAGACAGATGAATAATAGCCTCGCATAAATATCGAGATGTACGTATCAACCCATCTCTTATATTTTCTATGATAAAAGTTTTAACGTTTGGATAATATATTATGTTATATTCTACGAACTCCTCAAAAATTTTCTTCTTTCTCTCCTCATCAGGCCACATATTATTCGAATCCAGTTCGTAACTCTGCCTCAAAAATAAGCAATCATGAAACATGACAGGATGCTTCTCGCATACGTTAACGGATGAGCATTGTTGGCAAGGAGGAAGCAGGTTCTTCTGTTTGTAACAAATGAAACACGATTTAGGGAACAAGAACATTTGCTTTTCGTACGGCTGCAAATCGCGCTTTAGCTCTTTACTGATATCTTCTATGTTTTGGTTCTTGAATTTGACCCATTCCATCGGCGTTTCAGCATGAAAATCTTTTATGTTTTCTCTTCGGGACGAACATAGTTTTACTATTGCGCTACAAATTTCTGCGTGCTGTGTTTTATGCAGCGTCATATGGTAGGCGCTACAATAAGAGATCATGTGGCACGAAGCACATTCTAGCAAATTATAACTCGCTTCTTTGCAAACATGGCAAAGATTCGGATGGAAAAAGCTATTGTAATTTGCAGCTGGTCTTACTTGCGAAGATGTTTCGTATGCTAATGAAGTTGCCATATCTTTGTAGAATTGCTGTTTAGGGATATTTTCTGTATAAGAATGGTTTGCAAATAACGCACAATACTCGGCAAATTGCGGATATATAAAGATACTTACTGGAATAGATGTTCATCTGATGACTGCTTGAAGGACATTATTAATACTATTATTGTTACTTTTATATATAGCTACTGGAAGATATATGTTGTGGCCTTATCCATGTATCCCTACTTCAAAGGATATTAGTAGCAAAATATGTACCTATGAACAACGGCCAGTGTTACTATAAAAAAGATCTTCAATTGTATTAAATCGCAAGCTAAGATGTACCAGATAACTACTTTTTGTATACGTGACGCCGCTTCTCTCTCTCTCTCTCTCTCTCTCTCTCTCTCTCTCTCTCTCTCTCTCTCTCCTCTCTCCTCTC